GAGGGTTTCGGGGCACAGGGACCGAGTGACGCACCCCTAGAGTTCAGGGTTTAGGGCGGTATGACAGGGCTAGGATTCCCGGATTCATGCATGAGGGTCTTTGATTCAAGACCAAAAGTATATATACCGTGGCCCCAAAATACCTAAATAGGGACTACCTTTAATATTTAAGGCCGAAGTATATACTGTTAAAAATGTGGATAAGGGAGAGTGTCGGCAGTCTTTGGTGTCTGCGGACAGGCATGGTATAACACCCAAAGCAGACTGAACCTTTACCCAGACCCCCGGGAGGATCTGGAAAGTAGATTCCCTAATTTGGGGTCCGATACTACTAAGGGCACTTTCTCGGAACCCCCCATTAACCCAAAGGGTCCAATTATCATCATGGTATATACTTAGACCCCCAAAATGCCCTATAAGTATATACCAGAATGATACTTGGACCCTTTGGGTAAGGGATCTACTTTTTGGATCCTCCCGGGAGTCTGGGGAACACGTGGCACAAATCCTGGATCTGATTGGAACTGTGCTTCTCACCTGCTCTGTCTGAACCTTTCAAAGGATAAAAAGGAGGGACCCCTAGTAAGGACCCTTAGGAATATACCCATCATATATATTATCCCCTTAAGATACCGATTATATACCCATTATATAGCCCATTATATGTTAAACCCTAAACCCTAAACCCTATACCCTCTATATGAATATAGCCATTATATACTCATTATATAGCCCATTATAGCTTACGGGTCCCCATTAAGGGTCCCTCCTAAACCTTGCATTCCAAGACTCCTGGACTCCTGAATCCCGTCGCAAGGTTTGTGTCCTTTAGGGTTTAGGGTTTAGGGTTTAGGGTTTAGGGTTTAGGGTTTAGGGTTTAGGGTTTAGGGTTTAGGGTTTAGGGTTTAGGGTTTAGGGTTTAGGGTCTGATGGACAAAATCCTTAAGGACCCTAAACTATGGGAATTATGGTATATTCCTTGTACTGGGTCATGCAGGATATTGTCCATCCACAGTATGAAAACAAGTATATACTTTGGCACCAAAGTATCTAAATCGGGACTGCTTTAAATGCCAAACAGAGTATATACAGCTTGGGGATATGGACCCTTCAGGTATCTCCTAACCCCGGAACTCCAATCTCAAGCGCCTCGCCTCCGGAGGAAATGTCGGCGGCGAAGGAGGCGGCGTGGGGGGCGGATCCGTGACCGGGACTCGAAATGCATCCTGTCTCGCTGCTCATAGGTTTGGGGTTTTAGGGTGCAGGGTTTAGGACGTACAGTTTTAGGATTTCGGGCTCATGCGTATTGAATAACTCTTTCTTCCTATGGCTTTCAGTATTTGTGCGCTTGGTGAAGACCCCGGGTTTGGGTTTAAGGGGCCTTAACAAGTAAAGTAGGGTTTCGGGGTATATGATAGTATGACTACAATGAGGAACCCAAACAATAATCTTGGTAATTATCTGAGCTTCTAGATTAGAGTATGGGGCCTGGGAGTTCTACGGCTTGGGATTTAGGGCGGCATTTGGGGCTTCGGACTGTGCTCAACACCTCAGGGTCCAAATTACCTCTCTCTCTCTCTCTCTCTCTCTCTCTCTCTCTCTCTCTATATATATACACACATGTATATATGTATATATATATATACATATATATATATATATACATGTATATATATATATATATACATATATATATATATACACATATGTATATATATATATATACATATACATATATACATGCACATATATGCATATATAGAGATATATAGATATAGTAGAATGCAGGGATATATATATATATATATCTATTTATGTATATAGATATAGTAGAACGTAGGGACTCTAGATCAGAAATGACTATGTTGCCTTGAGGAAATTTCCCGCATAACAGTACCTAGGACCCTTATACCCTAAACCCTTACAGAACCCTGCAAGGAACCTTATCGAACCGAAACCTTAAACCAGAAGCGATCTCCTCGACCCTGAATGCTTCGACTTCAGCTTCATAAACCTCCAAAGCCTCAACCCGAGAGCCAAAAACCCAGGACCCTCAGACCATGAACCCTATCTTGAAGCCCGAAACCCGCAACCCTGAAACCAAAAACGGATGAATCCTAGAGCATTCCGAAATCGCGACACCATTGCTTAGAGGTGCTTTAGGGTAAGGGGTCTTGGAATTCTTGAGGGTTTGGGTTTTAGGTCTAGGGTGAGTGGTAGGTATTAGGATCAAGGGCTCAGGGCTAGGGTTAAGATCTGGGATGTTGGTCGTAAACCCTAAACCCTAAACCCCGAAACCCTAAACCCGAATGTTCGCAGCCGGGGCTAATAAGGATGCGACATAGGAACAAAAAGCTTCGACCACGCTTTTGGGGAGCTTGAAAAACAGCCATCGGCGGATAAATTTATGGGGTTTGAGGACTACCTTAAGGCTCCTGGACCCTTGTAGTGAGATCCCGGACCCTAGCCCCCAAAGCCGAAACCCTCCCCCAGAAAGCCCAAGACCCTCTTAGGAGCCTTAGAGTATGGCATCTTTCTGACTCAGATTGTCTTTCTGATCCTACCCCCCTGCTCTGTGGCAGATACTGAAACCCCAGACAGTACACCCTGAACCCCTGAAGCCTAAGCCCACATCCTAGACCCGGTTTCTCTATCATGCAGGAAGCTAGAACAAAATCTACATACATATGTATATACATATGTATATATTTAGAAAGTTTTTTGTTACTTTTATTTTGATTTTTACGTATATGAACTGAAAGACAAAAACATGCATGTCAAGAATGGGATGCAATAAGTGAGGGCCCCTTAACAAGGATTCAGCTAAATGACAACTCCTATACCGGCCCCCTTCTGCGCCGCCAGGCCTCATTGGAAGAAACCACCTGCTCCAAAAAAGCTTCGGTGCTTTCGATGCTTCCCATATCGGCTAACGTCATGATCATACACCCTTCGCCTGCATTACGCAGCATTTGCAACGAAATAACTTCCAAGGAGAGCTGTTTAGGTCTGGTTTGAGCATTCTCGGGAGTCGGGGTTTCTGGGAGAGATGTTGAGTTGGGCATTGAACGGCATTTGCTGTTTGAGTGGCTTAGGATCAGGTAGCAGTTGGGACCGAAAGGCTTGAGTTTGGGGTGAGGGGCCGATGATTAAGAGTTGTAAAGCCTGGGAGTAGTACACGCTGCTGCTTCGTTGCTCTTAAGTACGACTTCAAGAGAGACATCGCAGAGGTCAGCAAGCCAGAATGACACCAGGTTCGGATTCAGGTCTCAGCGGCTTTAGCATGGGGTCGTTAGTTCCAGGGCCCAACTAGGTCCTAATCAAGTCTCCAGAACTAAAGGATGCTTCGCATCCCTCTGGACGTTCATGAGTTAGGGTTTAGGGTCTAGGATTTAGGGTTTAGGGAGGCGCAAGTTTGCTTATGTTCGGGTTCGGCTTCGAGTTGAGGTGTACTTGGAGGTTCATGGGTCGTTATAGGTGGAGTTATAAGTCCCATAATATGGGTTATAGTTATAGTTGCCCTACTTATAACTCCACTTATAACTGCCCATGGACCTCCAAGTAGACCCTAAACCCTATACGCTCATAGAATCCCTACAGATCCCTTTAAAGAGACCCTTAAAGGGGTTGGACCTCCAAGTACCCCCTTTGCATCCTCTTTTCTCCAGTGCAGCTCTCGTCACATTGCTTGGAATCAGGACTTCGGGTCAAAGGAAACCCAAACGACGGACCCTAAACCTCAGCTGGAACCCCGAAGTATGCAGAACAGTGGCCTTTCATGTGTGTTGAGCCATGATTTTACCTACTTCTGGTGGTTCAAGTAGAGCCTGAACCCAAAGCCCTAAGCTTGAAAAACGCTTTTGAACTGACGGACCCTTACTCGGAATGCAGCTGCGGGGTGAGCTCTCAGGTCATTTTGGGGGAGCCTTGCCGAGACCCTCAGAAACCTACCGTTTTGGGGTTTAGGGTTCAAGGTTTAGGTATATGATTTCCTTATAGAAGTCCTTAAACAGCTAGGTTATTTGGGTTTTGGGATATCAATCTTACATGGGCTCTGTGGCCATATTAGAGCATACCTGTTACTGCGAACAACCCGAAGGTCTAGTGCTGGAAAATAATCCGACACTCTGCAAAACATATTACAGTGGAAGCCAGAAACTTGGAACATGGCTTTAGGAGGATTAGAGCTAGGATCCCGCATACTTTACCTTCAGGGCATGAGGAAAATGATGTTCCAACTTTCTGGCTTCTACTATAAGCCATTGAGACCCTGCTCAGAACTCTGTAGTTGAGAGTTAAGATTCTGTATTCAAGTATTTCTGGATAGTACCGAGTAGTGATGGGCACGCAGCTATCAATCATTCATCAGTATTTAGACTTATGTATAGGGTTCAGGGTTAAGGCCTTAGTGTCGAGGGTTCGGGGCCATGGGCAAATTCAGACATGCTTCGCCCTTCAATTCAACTCCTGTCACATCGGAAATTTCGGAAACCTTACAACTATGTCTACGTACAACCTAAGCTTAAACTCAACTTTTCTTGGACCCCTAAACCCCAAACCCGCAACAGAATAACTACAAGCAGTATGATTATGGCAATCCTTCAGACTACAAGCCTAACTTCTTAGACCTGGAATCAGGAAAAACCCTAAAGAACCGAAAACTCTGTCCGTCAGTAGTAGTAGCAGTAGTCGTAGTAGTAGTAGTAGTAGCAGTAGTAGTTGTAGTAGTTGTAGTAGTTGTAGTAGTAGTAGTAGTAGTAGTAGTAGTAGTAGTAGTAGTAGTAACTGTAGTAACTGTAGTAACTGTAGTAACTGTAGTAGTAGTAGTAGCAGTAGTAGTAGTAGTAGTAGTAGTAGTAGTCGTAACTGTAGTAGTAACTGTAGTAGTAGTAGTAGTAGTAGTAGCAGTAGTAGTAGTAGTAGTAGTAGTAATTAGTAGTAGTAGTAGTAGTAGTAGTAGTAGTAGTAGTAATTGTAGTTGTAACGCTCGGTCAGCAACTCTAAGCCTTACGCAGAGCGATTTGTTGGAACTCATCACGGAGCGCTCGCCGAATGCGCTTGTCAGGGACGCAGTCCTTGGTTTCTCGCCAGGATGGGGGCTGGGCTTGTGGGTTAAAGGTACGGAACGGGGTCCAGAGTTACGGGTTTAATTAGGGGTCAGGGTAATTACAAGGCAGTTGCAGTTGAGGTTGAGGGGTCAAGGATATGTGAGGTGGTTTAGACTGTCGGGCTGCAATCTGAAGGATGAGGAGTGCGGGCGGTGGCAGAGGAACCGCGGCGTGAAAGTCCGCGTTGCTTACCGCAACCCGAAAGCCCAGGATGCCATGGAGCAACCGCAAGCAGAACGCTTAATACATACCTGGACCTGCCGAAATCTACTACTTGTTCGGAGTTTTTGATTGATTTCATACTTGGGCTTGGAATATGAACCTGCAGAGAAGTGAGAAGAGGGAGGTTGTGGTAGCTCAAAATCAGTGATAGCATCTGAACTTGGAAGATGGCAGCGGGGTCATCCAAAAATCCCCCACCAGAGCATCTAGCTAGGGATTTCGGGTTTAGGGTTTAGGGCCCCTCCGAAACCCTGAATGCTGTCCCAGACACTAGGAGAGCGCTGTAAGTGACGACATCCGGAGACATCTTCGCATCCAGCATGGTGGAGTGCAGTTGCAAAGCCAGCTGCCAAAGCTTTCCTAGACCACGTATTTAGGAAACCGAACTGATGTTGGGATGTGCCTCGCCATATCATCCAGGGTAGCAACGCCCACAGGTATTAGACCACCGACTACTTCAAGGCACCTGGCTGGTGTAAGTGCGCATACATGTTATCAGCTAGTGGCTAGTGTGCACATGCATGTGGAGGTGTATGTGTATGTGCATGTGTGCGTGTGTATGTATGTGAGCCCATATGCGCGCAAGCCCGTGAAGGTGTTTAATTGTACCCTGCTTCTCGCTCTCTCTCTCTCTCTCTCTCTCTGTCTCTCTGTCTCTCTGTCTCTCTGTCTGTCTCTGTCTCTCCGTCTCTCTGTCTTCGACATGCAGATACATGCATGCACACACACATACATGTGCAGACAACGGAGGGGGCCTCAAAAGCTGAACTAACATGCTGCCTGGACTCCTCTCGTGCAAGCGGTCATGGCCGCATTGTAGCTGACGACGTCCACGGCGACTTGGGCACGTGGCATGGTGTGAAGAAGGTTGATGGCCTGCTGCCACCAAAGACCTCGAAAGCCTCGGGTGGTTCTGAGAAGTGCTACGACAGCTTGGCTGGCGGCTACTTGTACGCGTATTGCTACTACTACTACTACTGCTACTACTGCTACTACTACTACTACTAGTACTACTACTACTGCAGCTTCTGTTCCTGCTCCTGCTGTTCTGCAGTGCTAACTACTTCCAACGCTACTGGGTTGCTGCTGCCACTGCTGCTACTCCTACTCCTCCCGCTGATGGTGCTGCTGCCGCTACTAACTCTACTACGACTGCGACCCCGAAGACCTCTACTAGCACATGCTGCTATTGGTAGGGACTACTACCTCTGAACTTAACTTCAACAGCCGCAGCATGGCTTCATTCGCAGTGGATTTTGAGTGTGAGTACTAGCACAGTCGAAAATATCTAGGTGGGTAGTCTCTAGATTAGGGCCCCTTTTCGGGTCCCAAGGATAATGCGGCACCCTTATAAAAAGACCCCAAATGGGATCCTAATTATAGGAAAACTACTCAACTACTAAACTTCCGAAGCTGTCCTAGACCCAAGAGTACCCTAGGAATAAAAAGGGTGCCCTTTTTGGTTTAAAGGGGGTTATAAGGGAACCTAAACCCTAAGAAAGGGAATAACGGCCTACTCTAGGTCCTAGTGTCAGAATCCTGCTCAACAGTTGGCCCGAAGAGCAGGACGTGATGCAAGCATTCAAGCAGACAGTATCTGGTGTCACCTTTGCACAGGGTCCTAGGCACTGTGATGGTGGGTACTTCCCCAAACCAGAAACCCTACATTCTACTGTCAGATACTTTGGCCCGAAAGCCCTCAACCCATGAGACAGATACTTTAGCCGCTACAATATAAGCCCTAAAACCCTAAACCCAACAAGCTCTGTGTACCTTAACCTACCAAACCCTACTTTTTTGCAGGTTCTTAATATAGACCCTAATCTGGAATTTGTAGGGACCCTACAAAAACTTAGGTTTTGGTAGGTGAAGGTAGGTACTTTGTACCCTTTGCTTTGGGCCTTGGCTTGCCACAGGGACCCCCAGATCTGAATCGATTCCTCCCAACGATGGCCCCTCTCGCAGCAACTCATGGCCAGGCTATAGGCATAGAGGTCCTGGGAAGTTCTTAGAGGTCGCTGGGCTCTTCTTAAAGGCCCCGGGCTCTTATCTCTTATTGCCAAACTTAAACTTGTGGTTAACAGAATAAAATGCCTTTCATGCGCATCAACAACCTCTATTTTGTTGCCTAAATGAGAAAACCCGACTATGAATTAAGTTCGAACCCAGGATCGGGTGCTGGGAGTGCCTGCAGCAGCTGCAGGCACAGCTGCCACTGCCCCGCTTTCTGGAAAGAAGAGAGCGCTACCCTGTAGCTCACTGAGTTAGGCGTAACTTCAGCTTCAGACATGTCTTCGAAAATCTTCAGGGCAAACTGCCACAGGGATCTCTTCTCAACGGAGCTCAGAGCTGCGGTGTAGCTGACCACGGTTGGTGACAGCCGACACTGCGGCATCGCCGCGAGAAGTCGCAAAGCCAACTGCCAGGGTCCGCCTTTCTCGCAGGCGCTGATGGCTGCGTTGTAGCTGATACCTCAAGCTAGTTCATAGCAGAACTAAAGGTGAGCCGCTAGCCGTCGAGAGTTTGTAGGGATTGTATAGTACCCAACAATCAAGTTCAAAGGTTACTTGCTTGTATACGAAGATACTGTTGGGCGGCACACTTTCATGGGGCATCTCATTCAGAAGCTCGAGGGCTATCATCCAGCGGGTGGCTTTCTCACAGCAGCTGATGGCAGCACTGTAGCTGATGACATCTCGGCGGAATCCAGCACTGCTGATTCCCTGAAGAAGATGCAGACCTTGTTGCCAATGTCCACTCTTCTCGCATGCGCTTATGGTCGTGTTGTAGCTGATCAGGTCTGGGGAAACCTGTGAGGCTGGCATGGAGTCGAACAGCTCAGAGGCCTTTTGGGACTGTCCGGCTTTCTGGAGGGAGCTCAGGGTGGCATTGTAAGTGATGGTGTCTCGACTCACACCGGCAGCGGGCATCTCGGCAAAGAGGTGCAAGGCCTTCTGCCACTGCCCCCCGCGCTCACAGGCGCTGATTGCAGAATTGTAGATAATGACATCAGGCACCACCTGCAGTTCATACCTGAACCACATAACCCTACGTCTTCGAGGACCCATGTAATTATACTACTCAAAGGAGATTGTTTCACGGAGCACTAAACAAAAGCAGGTGTTCTACGGTCCGGGTACTTGTGGTGGAAAACCCGAAGAGCCAGCTGCCATCGGCTGCTCCGCTCGCAAGCGCTGAGAGCCGCACTCAACGTGACGACATTCGGCGTCACCTCGGCTCCCACGTCTTTTCTTTAGGGATCTAAGGACTCATATATTCGGGCTTCTGGGCCCAAGGACTAAGGCTTATGGGCTGTTTTGATGCCTAGGGAAACGGATGCTCTACCATGCACCGCAGCGTCGAGGCCACCATTCAGGGTGCAAGGTTTTGAGTTTCTTGGTGGTTTTTGGCCGGCATAAACCCTAAATGCGGCAAGGGCTTTAGCAGTCCCAGACCTACATATCCAAAAACCACAAAGATTCCCTTTTGTTGCCTTTTAAAGGGCATGCAGGGAACCCCTGACCAAAAGAAAAAGGCGCAGAAAACACCAAATCCAAGGCCCAACCCGAAACCAGCCGAATACCAACCTTAAACCCTACACCCAATGGCAGCACTGGGGAAGCCTGGTCACACCCAATTTCCCCGCGGACCAAAGCAGTGCCAGAGCTTGTGCCCAGCGTTGCCCAGAGGCGCAGGCACTCACCTGGGTTCTTCGTCGACCGAAACGTAACCCTTTTCTTGGTAAGGCTCGGAATGGGGTGATTGTTAGTAGCCTTCACAAGAGCAGCTTATAGTAGTCGGTAGTCTGGCTCAGTAGTGTTATCACATGTTGCCATGCTGGTTGGGGAATGCCACCCCGTACCCAGTATTGAGTGTGTTTATATTATACATATATGTACACACACATAGAAACCCTACATTCTACGGTATAGGTACTGTGGACCCTAAACCCTGAACCCTAAACCCTGAACCCTTTGGGGCATTGAGTTGCTGAAAATGAGCCCAGTCACGGCGAGGTTAAGATGTCTCGTACTCTGCCTGACCTTCGCAGACTGGTCTGCCGCTTTTTTGAGGGAGGGGGGTTGAGGGATATGTTATTTAGGGTTTAAGGATCCTTTAAAGGGATCCCGTAAGGGATCTATAGGGATATATAGGTTTAGGGCTTAGGGATATAGGGTATAGGATTTAGGGATAAACAGGTTTCGGATTTAGGGATACGGGGTTTAGGGATAGATGGTTTAGGATTTAGGGATATGGGGCTTAGGGATATATAGATTTAGGATTTAGGGATATAGGGTTTAAGGTTTTGGGTTTCGGGTATCCGCACCTTCTCAGACTGGAGCTCGAAGACCAAGCAGACCAGATCTGCCCTCCTGGCCCGCTTCAGATCCTTCGGGGTCTCTCTAAGAGCTTCTAGAGCTTAGGGTATAGGGTACTTTAGGCTCCAGGGCTTCTAGAGCTTAGGGGTATAGGGTTTTAGGGTACTTTAGGGTTTAGAGCTATAGGGTTTAGGGTTTAGAGCTTAGGGAAAAGGGTATATGGTTTAGGGTTTAGAGCTTAGGGTAAAGGGTACAGGGTACCTTCTTAGGGTTTAAAGTTTTTTGTTTAATGGGGTTCAGGGTTTAAGGGCTTCTAGAGCTTAGGGGTAAAGGGTATAGGGTACCTTCTTAGGGTTTAACAGTTTTTTGTTTAATGGGGTTTAGGGTTTAAGGTTTAGGGTTTAAGGGCTTCTAGAGCTTAGGGTATAGGGTATAGGGTACTTTAGGCTCCAGGGCTTCTAGAGCTCAGGGGTATAGGGTTTAGGGTTTAGAGCTTAGGGCATAGGGTTAAGGGTCTAGAGCTTAGGGAATAGGGTATAAGGTTTAGGGTTTAGAGCTTAGGGTATAGGGTCTAGGGTACTTTGCGCTCCAGGGTTTCTAGAGCTTAGGGTATAGGGTTTAAAGTTTTTTTGTTCTATGCGGTTCTGGTATGTTCAGGTTTTACGGTTTCAGGTTTAGGGCTTTTTGTCTTATGGGGTTCAGGGTTTAGGGTCTAAGGTTTAGGGTTTAGGGGTTTCTAGAAGGGTACTCTGGGTTCAGGGACGACACGTACCCCAAAAGGGTTTTGTTCAACTACATATTCGGGGTTCACCGTGTAGGAAATCAAAGCCCCTAACTTTAAGAGGAGCTTAAATATAGAACCCTACAGATTTTTAAAGGGGGGCCGTATTATAGAACCCTATAGTACCCTGTAAGGGCCATCCCTTCCCCGAGGCCCTAAACCCTAAACCCCTAAACCTTAAACCCCTAAGCCCTAAAACCCTAAAATCCTAATAAACCCTGAACCCCTAAACCCTAAAACCCTAATAAACCCTAAACCCTAAACCCCTAAACCCTATAAACCCTAAAACCCTATAAACCCTAAACCCCTATAAACCCTAAACCCTAATAAACCCTAAACCCTAATAAACCCTAAACCCTAAACCCCTATACGCCCTAAATCCAGTAAACCCTAATAAACCCTAAACCCCTAAACCGAGGGGATCCTGGAGGAGCTTGTAGGACTCGAAGCCCTCCAAGGCCGTGGAGGGGAGTGCAGCTCGCAGTTTCGCCTTCGTCGGCCTTAGTTGCTGAGTTCATAAGTGGTTTAGGGTGTAGGGTCTTGGGGGTATTAGGGGTTTCAGGGGTTAGGGTTTAGGGGTTAGGGTTTGGGGTTTAGAGCTTTTTTGAGGACCTTTTTCCAGCTGCAGTACAGTTCTATAACGGGCTCTATGATCCCCAAAAGTGTAAAGTGTGCTCACTCAGCTACCAAGAAGCCGCTCCAGCGATAGAAGTTCCTTCAGGGAGAACTTGGGATGAAGCGCGGTCCCGAAGCTGCACCGGAGTTGGGACGCCATCCTGGGAATCTACATGGCTGATGCCTGGCTGAACCAATGCGGCGAGCGATTTTCAAACGGAGCCTTAAATCCTAAACCCCCGAATCCCTAAATCCTAAACCCCTGTAACCCCAAACTCCCAAACCCCTATAAAACCCTGCAGCATAGACCCTAAGCCCTTAAGCTTTACACCGGGGCACAAGCCGGGGGCATCCCCTGGCCCTTGCGGGAGCCTTGACTTGGCACTGTCCTTACGACCACTTAGTTGCTGAGTTCATAAGCCCCAAAAAGTGTACACTTTCAGTTTTATAGTGGGTAATATGCTCCCAAAAAGTGTAACGTGTATTCCAAGCAACCCCTGGGCATCAAAATAGAGTCTTTAGAGCCCTAGGGAACACCCAGGCGTTTTCCCCAAACCCCCAAGAGTAGGTAAACCAAATTGACCAACACCGATAAAAGGCTATTATTCTACACACTTTTGGTATTCCTAAAGTGCTGAACCCGCAGCAGCCGCACTCTCCAAGCCGAAACCAAGGACCTTGGTTTCGGCTGAGATATGTTGACAAAGAAAACAGAAACCTTGTCGTTGAAATGTATTCCTTATCGTTTTACAGTAACTCCAACATATAGGGCCCTCTTAAATCTCTATAACGGGGTTTTTACTCAAACCCAGGTACATCCTACAGCCCGGCGCCCTGTCAGATATCAGCGCCAGCAACATTGAAGGCCCGTGCCGTTGCATTGATATCTTCATCGTTGCTGTCTGTGATCATGGCGATGGTGACGATAAGGATGATGTGAATGATACACAGCTTATGGCTACTGCATGACATACCACGAGACTCTATTCAAACTCTAAACCCTTAAACCCTAAACCCTCGGTATTATTGGTGAGGGTTGAAAGGGATTAGGGCTTTATCGCCTTGATGGTTTTGTATCATAGCTGCTCATGCGGCCAATCATGCCATCACCTGTGTACGGCTCAGGCTAGTGCTGTTTCAAGCGGTGATGTTGCCCTGACACAAGGCTTACTTGGAGGGTCGGGGAACTTAGCAAGTAGCTATTCTGTAAACTTATAAGTATCATAACCCCAATTGGGGCCCCTTCTTAGAGTACTTATAAGTCTACTTTGTACCTACTGACTAAATCCCCCGACCCTCCAAGTAATCTGCACAACAACCCGTAGCCTCTTCGCCGAGGCGTGCTTGGCCATCACCGACCCTCACGGAATCCGGGTTGATTGCCGTGGGATCCTGGAGACGGCCCAATCTTGGGTTCCGGTAGGGTTTGGGGCTTCAGGGCTTCAGTGCTTTTAATGTTTAAGGCTTTTGGGTGGGCCTTGTAGTCTAGGGTGCTCACACCTTTTTAAACCCTAAACCCTAAACTTAGAACTTCGATACTGATTGACCTGATCTGCTTAGTCGCGCCACTGCAGGCTCTTGATGTGGCGTAGCGCAGTGTGGACTTGGAAATGTAAGAGCTGATGGCATGGTATTGCCATATGTGTGGACGCTGTTCTAACCCTTATCCCAAAATCCCTGGTTGCTCGACTTTTTGTTAAGGAACATTCCTGAACTGAGGGCTCTAGTTTCCCAAGCCAGGTTCAACGGTTCGGGGTCGTTAAAGGCTTAGGGTGGACCTACACCCCTACGACCCTAGATTTGGTTCAGGGTTTAGGGTTTTGGCGCTATAGACCAGACCCCTGCCGGGGACTAGTGCGCCGAACTGAATGAAATAGGCTTCCCGCCACTTTCAAGCCTAGGATGCCCAGTAACCTAGGAATAAAAAGGGCTCCCGTTTTGGTATTGGGTAACTGTATAAGGAACCTAGGACTACAAAAAGGGAATACGGGTACTACTGGGCATCCTCGGAGCGGAGTCTTCTTCGGAGGAGCCCCGGACCCTATCCCTGCAGCGAATCCTTGAACCCTAAGTTCGAATCACTAAACTCCCCAGACGCCGTTAGACTTCAAGAGGGTTTTGGGACACATGGGACACGTTATCGTCTAAGTACGTTAATAGCACCCAAACAATTTTCAGAGGGTTTTGGAGCATCTTAAGGTCTAACTACAATATAAGGAACCCTAAGGAACAGTATTGGCAGACATTTAAACCTTACAAATAAGGCCACAAACAGAATCTCGCAGTGTGATCTCTGGAAGAAGCCTGGTTGATGCTGGCCGGATCCATCGTGGTCGTGACAACCTTCGCTCGTTCGCAGTCTGCTGTTTGGCGGGTTACTGTAGAGCTGCTGCAACCCTACACCCGAAACCGTTCAATGATTCAACCCTTAACCTTTATAATTTATAGTCATATGGGGGTTTCCGAAAATAGGGGACCCCAATATAGTACCCTAAATAGTAGGATCCTTATTATTAGGACCCCAATATACTGTTCCACCGTATTTTCGGAAACTCCCATATTCGGCTTCTGCGTCAAGCTGAACAGGTTGGCCTCTACACCCCAAACTCTAACACTGGGCAGGATGCTCGGGCGGAGGCTTTGCAGGTTTTGGGTTTAGGGTTTAGTGTTTCCGTTCCAGATGACCCTGTGTAGGGTTTCGGAAATAAAGTTTAGGTGGCCCTCAGCCAGCATCTCAGCCAAGACCAATCAAGCAAGATGTGCCTTAATTATGGTAGGTTTAGGGTTGACGGTTTCAGATGGAGCCTACTACACCGTAAACCCATGTCCTAAACCCAAAGCCTTGAACTTCCAAAGGTTCAAGGCTGTGAGGAATGGCCTCTAGCGCGCGAACTTTAAACCTTCGGTGAAAAATGCTGAACCCTGCAAGCGGACGAGGGTTTAAGGATTATACCAACCCCCAAAACCTACGTTCTGAGGGTTCCTTAAGGTCATGTGCTTATTGAAGTCCTTGACAAAGTTGGATATTCGGGGCTAAGGTATGGCTTGGGGCTTTACTAGGCTTCGCAGAGGAGGTTTACTGAGCCCTAGAACTATTTCCTGGGATTGTGAAGCCCAAATTCGGAGGCTGACAAACTCTCATGGGCTTTGGGGCTTTGGGGCAATCATCTTGGCTCCCTCCCAAGCGTCTGCAGCTTGAAGATTCAAACACTGTGGGTTTATGTATATTGGGGTTACCTGTGCTGTTTTCTGAAACACTCAAACACTCCAGTGAGAACCTATAAAAACCCAACCAAATTGAGAGCAATTCTGGTTCAAAACTGAGCCTGCCCCTACACCCTAAACTCTAACCCTAAACCCTAAACCCCTAAAGCCCGTAGGACGTCCTCCAAGTGAAACCCTCTCTCGTTGACAGGTTGGAGAACATAGTCAATCTAGGACAAGCGGTTCGTGATTGACAAGGATTTTGAAAGATGTGTGCTGGGAGTTCCTTTAATTCTTTCCTTATGGGCATGAGGATTACCATGTTCCAAATTTCCGGCTTCTCCTTTAATCTAACCCATCTCTCCTATACCGCCCTTGGAACCCTGATAAAATCAATACTCTCAATATTCTCTTGAGCTTTAGACGAACAAACAAAACCTACATACGGAGACTATAGTCTGAACCACGGTTGATGACATACATCCTACATGACCCATAATTAATAAGGAATCTACCATAAATCCCATAGTTTCGGGTCCTTAAGGTAATGCAGGATTTGTATCATCAACAGTAAGATGCCCTTCGAAGGCGAACCTACGTAGTCTTTGCGGCCCTGAAGCAGGCACTTGGCAGTTCCCGGTGACGCACCGGAACGGGCGATCCTGCCGAGAGGGATTCGCACTGTGGGGTTCAGGGCTTTGGGTCAAGATCCAGGGCGAACGGTGGAGAGGTCTTTTTACTGACGAGAAATCTGCGACATGTAGTATAGGAACCTGCTTAAGAAACCCTGGGCCTTAAACCCCAAAATAGCAGGATTCATATAAGGGACCCCAATAAAGGCTCAGGGTTCCTAATCATGTTCCAACATTACCATGGACTTTTCTCCTGTCGTTTAGAAGAGCCCAACAGACAGAGTGGGGATCGGGAGGCGGGAAAACCCATAACTTAAGAGTTACTATGGGGTTCTATAATAGGGTCCCCCTTAAAGGGTACTGTAATATAGAGGCCTTGATATAATTACCTATACCATGTTTTTTTGAACCAGGGCTCTCAGAGCCTTTGAAGCCTTGACCGTTAAGGCTCTGCCTTAAAAGTAGAAACCCGAAGAGCCGCTACAAGCGTCATAAAATAAGGATCCTTTGACGGTTCCTTGAAGGGTTACTTTAAGGGTTCTAAAGGGTTTTTTGAGGATGCCGTGCGCGCTATGTCGGAGCGCACATTGGCGCCGTCTCAGAGTTTTTCCGGTCTCTCTTGATTTGTTTATTGATTTCCGCATAAACTACATGGGGACCTAGAATGCCTCTACCAGGGTTATCCTTCCAGATTACAGGGTAACAGCGTTGCGATGTGGTCTCCAACCAATATGGAAACTGCATTCCTCTGCGTCTACCCTTCACCCTTATTCTATCCCTGAACGCCGAACTGAAAACTACGTGGTGTTCGGGGTCGTCCGGGGAGGCAAGGAACAGTTTGATCAAGCCCTTTGATTGTTGTTTGTTGAGAAGTGTTGAGGGCTTTTGCGGATATCCTGCCGTACGCCATACGGTGTGATTTGTAATTTGAGAGTAAAATGAGGCCTTAATGCCGACTATCCTTCTGAGGAATCTGAGGTAATATGCATCTATGCGCTTAAGGAGTTTATCCGTTAGGGTGAGAGCGTCAAGTCCGTATATGAGGGTAGGTATAAATACACTTTGGAATATGCGAAGCTTGGTCTTCCTGGGAAGGGAGCTGTTCCATGCTAGCCTTAGTTTTTTATACGCTGTTTCTGCTAGTGCTGCTCTGTGTTGGAAGGCTGTCTCAAAAGGCTTTGTCCAAGATATCATAGACCCTAGATACTTAACTTGCGTTGTGGTCGGACCAAGTGGAGAGAGCACATCGTTCTCCAAAGTTTGCAACGCGGCTTGTGTTTGAGCACCGCCATTTGATGGAGGTGATAGGTTGCGCTGCAGATGC